TGCTGGAGCCTGGGACAGTTCTCCCAGGCCAGGGAAGGCTCTCCTGGGCTCAAGCACAGCGAAGGCCCAGTGGGAACAGCAAGAGCACAGGGTGGAAAGTGGAGGCACCACCTTCCCTGTGGGAGTCTGCCCATATTGGTTCCCCGGCCCAATGCTATTCTCCAGTATACCTGCCAGCATCCCTGGAAACCAAGGGTCTGGACCCTCAGGTGGAAATTCCAGGGCCGAGCTGCCTGAGAAGGCATCCCACATTCACTAACCTCCCAACTGCTTAGCAACCAACAGGTGCTCGTTGAGCCTATTCTCCCTGCCCAATATACCAGGTTGGGTACAATGGGATAAGACATGATTAACACATGAAAAGTATTGAAAAAATACTCTATGAAGTTGAGTGCTAAATCCAACAATATTATCAGTAAAGCTACAAGAGTGTAGAGAAGGGCAGAGGTCACTGTAGACTAGAGAAATCCTGCAGAGCTTCCTGGAGGCGGCAGCAGCTTTTGGACTCAACCCTGAAGAATGGCTAGGGAAAAGCACAGCAGGAAGAAAGGCAAGGAGGAGGGCAGGAGCATGGCAAGTATAACGGGGAGACTGGTGCCCCATATTAGAGAATGGCAGTGAAGTGGGATGGGATGATTGTGGAGATCACAATGAGGGGTGAAGCCTAGAGAAACAGCCGGAGGATTTCTGATGTGAAAGGGGAGACAATAGGGAGCCACTGTAAGTTCTACATCAGGGCCTGGTCTTGATTAAAGCAGTCTGATCCTTAAAAGGCTTAGTAAAGAGGTGCAGAGAATAGGAGCTGGCAGCAGAAAGAAAACAATAGCTGCCCAGCTCCAGCAGGAATTCCCACTTCAGCCTCAGGGAAGGAAGAAAAGCCCCTTTTTCTTGGCCACTTATTTTAAATTTCATTCATTTCGTCATATTCTACGTCTTCTTAAATTGCTTTGTTGGTGGGGGGGGGCAGGAAAGTCTGGGGAGACAGGTAATCTGGTATGGTCAGAAAAGTAAAGAGTAGCCCTCACTTAATAACTGTGGACTAACTGACAAGGGTGGTCATTGGAAAAGAGAATTAAGCAGAGGAGGAGTTTGGGGGGAAGAAGACCCCACAGGGAAGGGGCAAGTGCAGGCTAGAGTGTGGTGGGAGCCCCACAGCAGAGCACACAAGCCCGACCAGCCTTGGCCCCAGCCACCTTCCTGCTGCTCTCAGCCCCCTGTCCCGTGTTCCACCACCACAATCTTCCATTCCTGTGCCTCGGAACCTCTGCACATGCTGTACATTTCTTCCTGCAATGCCCTTCCCTAAATTCCAGTTTATTCCCTGAAAGCCAAAAGCCACCTCTTGCTGATGTATGGATGACCCACAGCAGAGTACGTCTAAGGCCCTCGAGGTGATGCTCCTCCTGAGGTGCCCTGAAACCTCCTCCTATCATGGGACAACTAAGACTCCTGTAGGCTTTGGTAGCCCCTGGTATCTTACACAGCACTCAGATGTGGAGGGCTCTGGGGTCAGCTCAGTAACTGTGCCCTGCAGGAACTTTTCTAGCAAAAGATTTTCTAGAAAAGCTTTTGATGACTGCTGAAGCTGGGTGATAGGCTCGTGGGGGTTCATTATACTGCTCTCTCTACTTCTGTGGGGGTTAGAAAAGGTTCACGATAAACAAATCTTTTTAATTTTAGTAAAAGAAAAAGAAAAAAAATAGAAAACTTAAAATTGAGGAAATATATTATCTTAATTTTTCCAGCAAGTTGAGAAAAGATCCCCCCTTTTTTTTATTGCAACTGAGAGCAAGTCTCCTTACTGCTTCTACAAGAGAGCACAGTTGGAGGACTACAGATGCATCTGTTATGTCTAAGCTTCTGTCCCCAAGGCTAACGGAAGGCAGAAAAAGCAGCATGCATAACAAGGGGTTAAAAAGCAAAGACCCTCCCATGGTCCCAGGGGGCCAGGAGTGGGGCAATTGACCTGAGGGGGAGAATAGACCCAGTTTCCAATTTCCATCCTAAAGATCACACTTAATGCTCAGGGTCACGGTCCCTCTCTCCTCCTAGATTTGGACTGGCAGCCCCCTTTCTGGGCTCTTCCAGGGAAAGTAATCTCTGCCTTCCTGGATCCTGAAAACACTGGAAACAATCAAGTCGCTAACCCCCCACTGTGTTTTGCACTTTCTCTAGAGCAAACCCTCGAAAAGGTACTGAGGATAACAGGATAAACGCCTTCCTCTTGCAGGCCTGGGGTAAAGACTAGTGAGAGTGAAGGTGAAATGCCCCAGGTGGTGGCAATTCACAGCATTTCACATTTCCGCTCCCTTCCCGGTGTTGGTTGGTCAACACGCTTTCTCTCAACTAATCCAAAGTACAAGAGAGCAGCCTCAGCAATGGTGCCTCCCCTCCTCTCACTGCTGAAGCCCTCCACGGGCTGGCTCCCACCCACCTCATGACCCCCATGGAAACTTCTCTTAGAAAAGTCACCAGCCACCTCCAGTTCATTCCTCAGACGCAATGAATTCAGGGCTGGTGGCCACTCTTGCTGGAAAACCCTGAGACCCCACTATCTTCCCTTGGCTTCCTCCCAGGCCCCTGCTCAGTTCCCACTGCCCGCCCTTCCTCCTCTCTATGAGGACCATAACTGTAGGGATTTCTATGGACAAAATTCACGGAACTTGGTTTCCGTGCACCCCCCCGCCCCCCTGCAGGTGCGCACAGCAGTTTCCATGGACTTAAAACACCAGGTTCTGCTCTTGACTCCCTTCCTACCTTTGTATCCACAGCCCAGACCTTCCTCCACCCAGGCTCCAGGCACCTCAGCATCTCAACCAGAACTCTTGATTCCAAAACCTGTTGCTCCCTAGTCTTCCCTATCTGAGGACATAACACAACCATCCCCAGCATTCAGGCTAGACCCCTGGGGTCGTCGTCCTTGAGTCCTTCTGTTCCCTCCCCTGCACCCTTCCCATCCATCAGCACATCCTACTGATTCCATCTCCAGCATCCTTTCTAGATCTGTCCTCTGTCTCCACTGCTGCCCTTAAATCCACTTCAAATCATTCCTCTGCATAGAAACCTTCAAAGGCAGCCCAGTGTACTCAGAATTAAACCAGTTTTTTGGCTGGCACCTACGAGGCCCTGTATGACTGGGCCTCCTGCTAGCTCCCAGCCTCATCTGGCCCCACTTTCTCCCTTGCTCATTTCACTCTGGGCATACTGGTCTTTCATTTGGGCAAGCAAGTCAGGGCCTTGCTTGTGCTGTTTCCTCTGCCTAGAACATTCTCTCCCACCCTGCTCCTCACAGAACCACCTCTTCCATTTCTTTAGGCCTCAAATGTCATTTCCTCCAAGAAGCCTCTCCTGATCACCCCACCCAGAGCAGGCCTCTGTTAACCTCTATTTCAGCCCCTGCTTATTTTTTTCCTGTCCATCTCCCCCATCAGAATGTCAACTCCATGAAGACAGGAATTATATATGCACGGAGCCTAGTACACTGCCTGATACTTGGTAAGTGTTCAATAAACATTTGTTGAAAGAACAAAGGAACCAGTCACTGCCTAGGGATTAAGCAGTTCCCTGAAAGTACAAGAGGTTAACCTGCAGGGGACACTGTGCCTCAGCCAGGACCCGACAACAGCCTCAGGGAGTGGCTGAAGCTAACTTCTGGTTTTCCAATACTGTGGGACTGGTTGGGGCCCAGGACAGAAGGCACCTCACCTCCCTTTTCCAGCGTGCCAGCCACTCGTCCCGCTTGCGCTTGCTGATGTAGTAAGGGTCCCCCGCCTGGAAGGTGAGCCGCGGCATGGGCCGCTGGCGGAGGCTGGACTCCCAGCCCAAGCCACCCCGGAGCCGGCCCCGGGAGCCCTAGGACAGAGAGACAACAGAGAGATAGACTGGCATTAAGATGGGCACTGACAGCCCCACTGCAGGGTTTGTTCCTCGTGGAGGGGAAACTGAGGAGGCACTCACCTCGAACAGAACATAGAGGCTCTAGCTCCTGGCCAGAGATGTCAACCCTGCGAGTGCTAGGCAAGCCCCATGTGGGCTGGAGATTGAGGGACTGGGGTGTGGGGACACACGGACATAAACCAGGAGGGGAGGTTCTTGGTCTCAGAAAGGGACTAGATGACTGCCTGGGGGACTTCCAACCTCCACACCCACTTCCTCTCCTCCTCACAGAGGGATGTGTAAAGAAGGGGACAGGGGCCACCTCAGGCTCCCCTCACACACACTCGCCAAAGTTGGTCAGAGCAGTGGCCTTCTTCTAGAATCAGGATCCACAGAGCCCCTGGGGGTTGAGGAAAACACTTGCCTCCATTTTCATAGATTCGATGTTGGTCTCCTTCTGTTCTTTGCCTGTGGAGAGGGAAGAACAAAGGGACTGTCGGCAGAGTTACAGGAGTGGCTCAGAGGCCCCACCTTGCATCTGGGGTGCCTGTCATGGAGACAGGAGTCCTCCAACTACTTAGTTGTTCATGTGTCAAACCTGATGGCCCATCATGTGCCCAGCACCATGCTGACCTTGAGGACTCAGAGCATGACCAGGCCAGAGAAGGGACTGGGGGCAGGGTTGGAGGCCCAAATCCAGACAACAAAAGCCAGGGCTGTAGTTTCTGGCCCACTGACTCTGTCCTAGGCACACAGAAGGAGTCATCTAAAAGTAGCCCCACTCAGTTCCTCCCAGTCAACAGAGCTCTCTTCCCAGAGGAGGGGGCCAGACTGCACAGTCTCCCCTAGCCCTGGAATGGAACATTTGCTTCTATGCGTGGGGCCCTGGGTGGGAGAGTGGTGGGGTACAGAGCCACTGGAGCAAGACTCCAGTGAATCAAATTCATTTCTATGAGACTCAGTTTCCTCATCTGGAAAATAAAGATGCTGGAGATAATTTCTAAGGTCCTCTTGCAGTCTTCAACATCATGGTTCTATTATTAATATCTTCCTCTGTACCCCATTCCCCTCCCCATTCTCAGGTTCCTAAGCCCAGCCTTTATTCTAGAAGACTTGGATTCCAACTGTCTCAATGATATCTCTGTAACCTCTCCTAGCCTGTTCCTCGCTGAATTAAGGTAGCTAACCCTTCTAAAATCTTTAGGCTATTGGGAACATTAAATGCCTAGAGCAGGGCTTGGCATACAGTAAGGCTCAATAAAAGTTAAGTTTGGTTCCCCTTCCCTGAGGCAGCAGTTCCGGGCTCCTCTTCGCTGCAACTCAACTGGAGCCTGACTCCAGCTTCTGGAAGGGAAGGTTCCACTGCGGGCAGAAGTCTCAGCAGGGGAGACTTCTCCTCAACCTTCCTGCGCCCGGCCCCAAGCAGGAGGGCAGCCACATGCCTTCAAAGTATCCCAGCCCTCCTACCCTGGTCCTCTCAGGGTCCTCACCTCCCAGATGCCAGGTCCCAGGCCCAGCACAACCCGCAGAGGGCGGGCCCTGGCCGTGGGGCTGGGTCATTGTGCCTTTCTGAGCTTCCTACCGGAGGTCAGGGGGAGTGCGCCCTCCTCCTTCTTGAGCCCCAGAACTCCTTTCTCTGAAGCCAAGAGTATTGAGTGTGGACCCAAAGGCAGGAAGGTCATTAAGGCTGGTTCATGGTAGCTGGGGGGAGGGCAGCGGCGAAGGGGGACACAAAGAGCCAAAAACGGAAAAAACAGCCCCTATTTCATCTCCCGGCTCAGAAGCGGAAACCAGCCGGGGCACTGCAGGCTGCTGAATGCTCAGCCCCCGAGAGGCTGCCTCTTTCCCTCCCGCTCACCGGAGAAGACCTGGGCGGCTGGGCTGCGCCGGCGGGCACTGCCAGCACCTGCAGGGGCGGGGGCGGGGGCGCCCTGCAGGCGTGGCCACCCGGGACTACGCGTGGGCGTGTCGCCCCAGCACGGACTAGCTGGCTGCGGAGGGGCGGAGGCGCCCGGGGCCAGAGGGAGGAAGCACGTACGCCCGCCGCCGTCGCGGGGGCGTGGGTGCGCGCATGTACTCGCTGACGCTTTGCACAGGACTGGCGGGTTAAAGTTCGTCTCACCGGACTTTTGTCTCTTTCAACTTGTTTCCTTTAGCCCCTCTCGCCTCACCATTGCCCGCTCCCCAACATTTCCTCCGGTGTCAGGGGCTGGGCTCCCTATCCTGCCAGCCGGAGCCCCGCTCCCCCGCCCCCCTCCCCGCGTCCTCTCCAACCCGCGCACTCCGCTCCACGAGGCTTGGCGCTGTCAGAAGGGCGCCCTCAGATCTGACTGCACCCTCAGGACCTCAGGGGTTTCCTACCAGGGACCCTCCGTGCCATCTGATCTATGGGAAATCATTATTCATTCAAGTGAAAGAAAATCAGCCGCTGAAAGAAAGGAACTATAAAGGACTATGGAGTAATCCTCCAGCCCCTAGATTTTGCCGATGGGGAAACTGAGGCCTGGACAGCTCACTGTATACTGCACCACCTTCCCCGATGTTCCCCCTCTCGTAATCCCTGGCCCATACTTCCCCAAACAGAATTACTTTTCCTTATGTAGTTTCTAATCGCCGCCTTTCTGGAATTTTCTCCCAGATGGACTCTGCGCATGCCCAGTTAAGTGATATCGCACACACTTGAGCAAGCAAAACAACAAACTAGGCTGCCTCAGAATCTTGCACTTGTCCGGAGTCAAGGAGGGTCAGCTGCTCTCTCAACACTCCCCAGCAGTCCATCTGTTCCTGGCCTCGACCCAGGGTCACAGGCTGGGCCAGGTGGCTGCGTGCCTTCCAGGGTGGCCCTGGCAGGCTTGGGCATGACCCTAGGGCATCTCAGGTCCTAGAGGCAGCTGGAGGCCAGGGTGCTTCTAACACTTACCTGTTAGTCTAGGACTATACTCAGCAGGGGGCCACCCAAAATTCTCTTTAAAATGAACCTAAATCTCAGTGACAGAGCTGAGGCCAGGCTTGCCCCAGAGGACACTCACCAGCCCAACACTGAGCGCTCATTCTGAGAGAGGAGGTCTGTGCTGACCCTAATCTGGTCCTTTATTAGTTGTATAATCTTGGGTAGGTAACTGAACTCTCTAAATCCTCAATCTCCCCATCTGAAAAATGGGGATAATCAGGCCGGGTGGCTCAGCTGGTTGGAGCGTCATCTGGTGCACCAAAAGGTGGGGGGTTCTAATCCCGATCAGGGCACATACCCGAGGTTGCAATTCAATCCCTGGTCAGGGTGCATATGGAAGGCAACTGATTGATGTTTCTCTCTTACATTGATGTTTCTCTCTCTCCCTTCCTCTCTCTCTAAAATCAATTTAAAAAACAAACATCCTCAGGCGAGGATTTTTAAAAAGGTGGAATAAAACAGTCTTCCTTAAATGATAACAAAAATTAAAGAATACATGAAGAGCAGGACTTCTCAAGCTTTAATTTGCATTGAAATCATGAGGCTCTCTTTAATGCAGATTCTGATTCAGTAGGTCTAGGGTGTAGACTGGGAGTCTGCATTCCTAACTTCTCAGGTGATGCTGGGTGATGGGTGGACCACTTGGAGGAGTGAGGCTATAACACACGCAACACGTTCAGTAAAAGAAAGCCACTCTAGCATCGTTACTGTCAGCATCATGACAGCATCAGTGCTGGGAGGTCAGGAGCCTCCGTAAGGCCACCACCTGCCTGTCCAGGTGGCTCCTGTCCTGATTACTCATCATCTCCCCTGTTCCTCCTTGTTTCTCCTGGCTGTTCCCTCAGTACACACAGGAGGGTACCCAGGCCACAGGAACTCTGCCTTAGAGCCCTCCATTTCTCCTGTATAGGACCTAATGAGAGGCAGATGGGGTCCCCTGAAAAGAGACCTAGAATGAAATGAACTGAAAGGAGACCACAGCCCAGTCCCTTCCTCCCTGGGGCCTTAGTCTCCTTCCTCCTCAGAACCAAGCAGCTGAGTATGTATTCTATGTGGCTGATGCTGGCATGGTGGCCATTGCCCACCCCTCTGGGTAACCCCTCACCAGCCTCTGCATCAGACATTTCACAGTGGCCTCCAGGGATCCCACCAGCTCTAACCCCGCCAGCATCTCCACTGCCTGGACTGCTGCAGCCACACAGGAGTGCTCTGAGGCCAAATTTTGGAGACCAAGGAAACTTGGAGCATTTTTGCCCACCATGCTCAGCACTAAGGTTCTGAGAAAGATCCACCTACTGCAGGAGTCACCCTTGAGCCATCTCCCCCCTTTCCTCTCACATCCCTGGCACTTGTCCACCTCCATCCATCTCTGCTGCCACCTCCCTCTTCAGAGCGACACCCCTCCCCCCTGTTTGCAGCAGCTCCTAAGCCCTCATCCTGCCTCCCAGCCGCTTTGTTCATTCCATTCCACGATCCAGATGGCAAACTGATCTTTCCAAATGTAAAGCACATTATGTCAGCCCCTGGAAGGGTGGCCTCAAAGGCTGCCCTGGCCCTGTCTGCTCTCCCCTCATCTCACGCCCTTCTCCCTTGCTCTCTTCACTCCAGCCTTGTGGGTTTCCATCAGGTCCCTCAGTGACCTGCTCCTGCCCACCTGGGAGCCCTTATACCTGTTCTCACTCCCTCCCTGCACCACCCCTCACCTGGTGTAACAGCCCAGGCCATCTGGGTTGCTCTGTTATAGTCCCTCCTAGAACCATGTATATTTTCCCCTAGGGAACTCATCTCTGTGTATAATCACACCCTTTTCAATGCAGATTTCTCATTAGTGACTCTCTCCAACAAGACTGTGAGGTCGTTAAGGGCAAGAACCAGACTTTTGTTCAAGAGGATTTTCCCAGATCCTGGCACAGACCAAAGGGGTATTAATAAATACCCGTTGACTGACTGAAGGAGCTCCTGAGAACAAGCAGAAATGGAGACAGGAAAATCCCAAACCGAAAGCAAACCCTTAAGGTGAAAAGCAGCCTTGGAGCTATGGTTCCATTCAGCCAGTCAGAAAGGGCTGCCTGGGCCCTGGGCAGCAGCTGGGCTCCAGTGGTGGTGGGGTCGCAGGAACCTGAGAGTGAGCCAAGATCTGCCCCTGGGACCAGCATACTTGGTGGGAAAGGCTGACAGGCTCTGTTCTTGCACAGCTGGCCTTTTTTAACAGGAGGATGATAGCTCCTCCCTTTCCTCCTCTGTTTTACTCCACTCAGGCCCCTTGACCACTCTCACCAAGTGCCAGGACACGTCCCAGGAGAGGCTAGGAGCCCTGGCCAGGTCAGGGCCAGGCCTCCCAAGCCACACTGCAAAATAGAGGGGACAGCGGAAAGGCAGAGACTAGGACAGACTAAATCCTGGACCTGCCACTTATGGGTTTGGGGTCCCTGAGCAAGTCACTTCATCTCGCTAAGCCTCAATTTTTCCATCTTAAAATAGGGATAATAATTCCTCTTGAAGAAGACTGGAGGAGTAAAACAATGAACACAGAGTACCTCAGAAAACGCTTTGCACGTAGCAGGAACATCACAGATATCAGTTGAGTAACAGACGCATGAAAGATATCTTTTAGTAAATCTGGAGATCTCTTTTTTGGAGATGCTCTCAACCCTGCATGAATATTAGGTTTGGATCCGAGCAAAATGAGTTATGCCAATTAATCAACTTGCTCATTCCATCATACACACTTGGAAGGAAGAACTTTTGAAACTGAAATGCACATATGCGAAACGACCAGCAGGGCCCTGGGAGGGTCAAATGTGGTAATGATGAGAAGCGCCTAGTAAACTGTGAAACCTGGTACAAACACTAGTGTGCTCATTGCTAACATGCTTACAGCTCAGTTGGCCCTGAAATTGCTGGCTTAACCTGAAAGAGAAAAGTGGGCAACTTGCCAAGACTCCAGGGCTAGGCCAAGAAATCCCCAGAGGAAGAAGAGGCCTGGGCTGGGTTGTGTACCAGCTACCTGCCCCTCCCCACCCAGTCTGCCACAACCGGAGTTTAGTCCAGTTATCCAAACTGTGGTGGGCTCGGGACATCTGCTCTGGGGAAGGCTCACTGGGCTTTTAACGCCCACAAGGGCATTACTGCCCTGGAGCACCCAGCCCAGGGGCTACAAACACAGCGATCCCTAAGAGCTGCAGGTCTTATGGGATCGCAAGCAGGCCAGGTGGGGGCTGAGGGAAACAGGTGCACAGCCAGTCTGATGGGGGGGGACCTATGGGAGGATGGGGTCCGCCATCACCCCAGTCGGGCAACCATTGGCATTCTGCAAACCCACTGTTGCCAGGTCTGGCTTTTAAATTTTTTCAAGAGAAGCCAAAACTCCAGATTTTTATGTGAAATGTCTTGATTTTAAAATATTGACAACTAATTTTTTTTAATGTTTAAAATATTATGTGGGCTGCATCCAGCTAGTAGCCTCCAGGGCACAACCTGGGCAAGGAGACCTTCAGCTACCATGCCCAGTCCACGCTTCCAGGGACCCGCTAGGCCCCAAGTCTCCAACCCTCAGGCGAGCCCAAAAGAGGCTGCCCCTTGAGCCAGGGACTCACCTTCTGCAGCGGCTCCTCGGCCATCCTTGGGGGTGCAGCAGCCATTCTCCACAGCTCGGGAGGCTTCAGGTGGGGTCTCAGCCGCACCCTCTCCCTCTGCTGGGGCACCACCCTTCTGTCCCCCAGCAGGGCTCCCTTCCTCTGGCTGGGGCTCACTCCGCTTCTCCAAGTCCCCATTGGGTAACAGCTCTGAGGGGCCTGAGTCCTGGGCCATGGACAAGGACTTAGAGGTCACCGCAGGGTCCTTGGGTGTATCACTGCTCTCCACCTGGAAAGATAAAGAAACACAGGAGAGAGTTAGACCTGTGGTCTAGCCTCCTTTGGATCACTCACCCCTCTGAAATTCTGGTGATTATAAATTCTCTGTCCAGATAATTTTGTTCACATAAACGTTCATGCAATTTTGCATGACGTTCATACACTCACAATCTTGCTCTCAGTTTCAAGGGGTTCATGGGTTTGACCCCCTGAAGTCAAGGGGTCTGTGGACTCCAGCTTAAGAAATGGGAGGAGTCCAGCCAGGTTTGCCAGCCTGGTTCCAAAGCCCAAGTTGCACCCCCACACATACCCTCACTGAGGTGGCACAGGGCTCCCCAGTCTTTTGCAGCCCCCATTAAAAACAAATGCTCCTTGGGGTATCCCTACTTCTAACCAGGACCCTTCCTGAGACCAGCCTGGGCTGATCTTACTTCTGTGATAGACCCTCCCAGCTTTCTTCTTGGTCTCTAAACCCGGTGAGGAGCTTCCAGAGTGGGAGGGTCAAAGGGGGTTCCCAATGAAGCATTCCTCTGAGCCCCAAAGCCCAGCACATTCTTTCCCTCAGCTTTGGCCCCCATGGGTTCTCCCAGGTGCTTAGACCCCAGGAGAACCAAGCCCCCAGCAAGCAATATGCAGTCTGTACAGTGCACCCTCCCAAGCACGTGGTCCCAGGTACCCCTCCAAGAGTCCCCAAGAGTCTAAGAATTGAACTTGCTACAAGAATCACATCAAGAGTAATCATAACTGTCCTTTTTAAAAATATGTTTTTATTGATTTTAGAGAGAAAGGAAGAGAGAGAAAGAAACAACGATGAGAGAGAAACATTGATCGGCTGCCTCCTGCATGACCCCCTACTGGGGATCAAGCCCACAACCTTGGCATGTGTCCTGATCGGGAATCAAACAGGTGACCTCTTGGATCATGGGTCGATGCTCAACCACTGACCCACACTGGCCAGGCCATAAATGTCCCTTTTAAATGGCACTGCTTGGTGAGTAAAACTCATCCATTACACCTTTAGAGCCACTCAACCTCCCTGGGAGGCTCTAAGAGAATTTTGTGATTTGCTTGAGGTCACACACTTTGTGAGGACAGAATGAGAGCATGGTATGAGGACAGAGCAAGCACAGGAGAGCCTGGAGAGCACTCTGTTCTTGGTCATCTGGGGGCAAGTAGGCCTGGATATCTCAGAAGGAACGGAGGTATCCTTGGGGCCGAAGAGGCAAGTGTCCCCTGTGCTCAGCGCTCTGTCATGCCCTCGGCTACCAGGATGCCCTCTGTGACCCTGCCTGCTGGTGGCTTCATCTGCAGAATGTCTGCCCTGAGAAGGCCAGGTGGTATGGGCTCAGCAAACACACTGCTGGCCTGCGACCTCAGGTAAGGTACCGCCCAAGAGGGGCCTCAGTTTCCCCACCTGTATCATGAGATGCCTAGGCTAGACCAGCGATTTTCAACCAGTGTGCCCCAAGAATTTTTAAAACATGCACCACCTAACTATTTAGGGGCATTGACTTCTTTTCCCTTACATTGTCAAATAAAAAGGACAACAGACAACACAACAATAGCCATTAGGTGTGAAGGAATCAAAATTATATCTATTTTGGGGGCCAATGGGAGGAAAAGGGGGACATCTGTAATACTTGCAACAATAAAGATAAATTTTAAAAAGATTAAATCCTAAAAAAAAATTACATATTTTTTGTCAGATCAGCAAAAGATACATTTTTTTCGGTCTGCCACAGAATTTTAGGAATTAGTTCATGTGTGCTAGGAGATAAAAAAGGTTGAAAATCGCTGGGCTAGACCAATGGAGGTATTTACCTTCTTTTTAAGTCTTTATTTATAAAAGTCAGACACATGTTACAAAAATTCAAACCATACAAAAACGAATAGCATTAAAATAAAACTCCCATCCCTACCTTCAAAATCAGCCTCCCTACACGTAAACCATTACTAACAGTTTGGTAAGTATCTTTCCTAGACTTGTTTTTCATATGCACCTACCACCATGTGTCAGGTACATGTTTATACATATGTATTCACACACTGGTCCAGAATTGTTTTTTTCTAAAAGAATATCACACTTCCCATACTGTTCTGCAGCTTGCTCTGCACTTAACATGCAGAGTGGGCACCTCTCCATCCCTGTGCACACGGATCTGTCTTGTTCTACGTCACGGCTGCTCAGCACTCTACTGAGTGGATGCCCAAGTTATTCCCTCAGTTCCCTCATGGTGGGCCTTTGGGCTGATTTGCTTTTTGCTATAGCGAACCCTTGCACTTAGAGCTCTGTGCACCTGCGGATCTCTACAGGCCCGAGTCCCAGAAGTAGACTGGCTGGAGGGAGGGCCTGCCCATCTAAACGTAAGTAGAAATGGCCAACCCTCCAAAGAGCTGTACCACTCAAGTGCACCCTGAAAGCCTGAGAGAGACCTCGTTTCCCCAGGCCTGCCCTGCAAGCCCTGCAATCTCCAAGGCGGCTTCCGCTTTAAGGATCTATGACCTCCACTCTAAGCCTGCTACTATTTGGTGAGAAACCCCCAGAGGTGGCAAATAGAGACAAGGGCATTGGAGAAAACATAAAAATAAAAATAAAAACCAGAACTAAACCAGAGTCCTCCTTGGGACGAGGCTGCAGGCACATGGCGCAGCATGAGCGCGAGCAGAGGGAACTCCAGGCCCCTTGCCAAGCTGCTCTCCTGGCTGTGTGGCAGCCTGGGACAGGCCTGCTTCCAGGAAGAGAGCTCCCATGGAAAGCTGCAAATGTGTGCAGTCCTCAGCAGTGGGGGCGGGAGGCTGCAGCAAGAGGAAGAGGAGGCCTCCAGCGGAAGGGGAAGCGGAACCGAGAATTCTTCCACCAGGCCTGGGCACTGAGGGCCAAGGCCAGCAGAGCCAGGAGGTCAGACACAGGAATGTGAGTCGAGCAAGAGGCCCTGTCTCTCCCCTCAGCTGCCATCCCCACATGTCGGGACCCACACACTCTGTCCGGGACTCAGACGGTCTTTCCCATCTCCCAGCTCAAAGCAACAGGGCTCCCTGGCCTAGAAGGCCCCGCCCTGGGGTAAATCCTCTCACCTCCAAGGCTCCCTCATGTGTGTGAGCAAGCCAGCTGGCCTGGGCAGCCTGGAGAGTGGGGCAAGCCTGGGCGCCCACAGCCGCCCCAGAGCCTCCAATGCGGCACTCGCAGGGAGGTGGGTGTGGGGTTCCTGCTGGCCCACTTGGGCTGAGAAGTTTAGGTCACAACCAGTTCCTTACCATGGCAGTGTTCTCCTTTACTCGAGCCACTTGCTGCCCTACAGACACCTCAAGTTGGAGCCATCTCCTGGGGGCCCTCAGAATTTGTTGACTGATGCTTTCCTTCCTGGCAAGACCCCTCCACCCTGGGACAACTGCCTCCTGCTTCTCGGTTGCCTACTACCCAATCCTTGGGCTTCTCCTGTGAAGGCAGTGGTTGTATATGCGGGGGGAGGGGTGCAATTTTGCCCCAGAGGGCATCTGGCAATGTGTCTGAGACATTTTCAGTGGTCACACTAGGGTGGGGTGGACTGCTGGCTTCTTGTGGGTAGGGGTCAGGGGTACTGCTAAGCACTCCAAGATACAGGACAGTGCGCACAACAAAGAATTATTTATTCAGCCCAAAAGGTCAATGTCAAAATGTGCTGTTGTTGAAAACCTTGGCTGAAGGTAGGGGCACTGACCAGGGGCTGCATTTTTTCTAAGGACTATTTTTAAAAAAACAAACAGTTTTATCCTGGCTGGACTGGCTCGGTTGAGTTTTATGCACTGAAAGGTTGCAGGTTCAATTCCCAGTCAGGGCACATATCTGGGTTGTGGGTTTGATCCCCAGTGAGGGAGTGTACAGAGGGCAACTGATTGATGTATCTCTCTCACATCGAAGTTTCTCTCTCTCTCTCAGCATGTCCTCTGGTGAGGATTTAAAATAAAACAACAACTTTAAAAAAGCTTTTAAAACAACATTGTGGTAAAATATACATAACCTGAAATTTACCATTTTCACCATTTTCAAGTATAAATTGTTGACCAACCATCATGACCATCCATCTTCAGAGCTTTTCATCAACCCAAACAGAAACTTTGAACCCATTAAACAACTCCCCATTCCCCCTGCTCCAGACCCCGGTAACCACTATTTTACTTTCCATCTTCTAAGGAACATTTTAAAGTCGCCTGCCTGTCTGTCTCTCATACACACAAACCTGGATCTGTGCTAGGCCCTGGTCTTTGGAGACCTCAGCCTCACCCCCACCCTCAGCTCCCAACAGCAGAGTTGGCAGGCTGCTGGTTTCCGCTGGGCCCCAGGAGTGGGTTAAAGTCCACTCCAGTGTTCCCTCTGTCCCCCAGCCCACTGCTTGTCTCGTTTGTTTACAGAGTACTCTCACATCCTCTCATTATAGCCCTCCTCACACTGTTTACCTAATTGTTTACTGTGTCTCTCTCCTAGGCTGTGAGCATTGCCTCATTTATCTTTTCATTTCTCTCCCTTCTGACCAGTACTAAGCACAGAACCCAGCATAAATATGCTTATACGATTAATAAATTTAATTATCACAATTATCCTGATGGGTAGTGTTACCCTCACTTTCCCAAGGACGAAGGCTCCAAGGCTCACCTCAGGTCACACACCTTCTAAGTGGTAAAGCTTCCAGAATGACCCAGGTACAGGAGAGGCAGTTGAAAGCCAGCTCCTGCTCTGGGTTGAGTCTCCGGAAAAGCCCAACCTCAAATCCCAAAGGTTCCAAGGAGGAAAGGAGGCTTTGATGGGCCTAAGCAGGGCCTGGGGAAGGCTGGGGGAAGGCTGCCGGCTGTTTCCCTGGCAGCAGCCACTGCAAGGAAAAGCCAGCGGCCAAACAAGGCAAAGCAAGTAGGAGCCTTCTGCAGTATACCTGTCCAGGCCAAAGCCAATTCCTCAGCACTGCCCCCCAGGCTTGTCCTCCCTATTTGCTGGAAGTCTAGTCTGAAACCCAGGACTCCCACCCCTCCCTCACAGGT